AGGATTCTAGCAGCCCCTCCACCAATGGCCGCCGGCCCTCAGCCATCGTGAACACTGCCTTTAAGCCATTGCCACTATCAATCGCACGGCGTTCTTCCTGTGCTCATTAAACGTATGCTGACACAATTTCGTCGCTTTCGCCATGGCTCTGCTCGACATAAAAGATCAAGGGCATGCTTCCAAGCCATACCTTATGATGGAACCCGACGTTAAAGCGACCTCGTGGGAGCGTAACCCTCCAATCTGCCGTAAAAGTAAAACAAATTTCATGCTTTGAAAAACAGCATGTGCAAACATTCACAGCAAGTTACTTAGGCACTGATAACTCACCCATTTACGGAGCTCATCACAGTATTGCTCGAGAGCTGAGCGACCATCGTCTCGCTCTTTACCAACATGATTGGATTCTTTTTGGTTTCCAGATGAATTCCCAGCCATGGCCGACCTTCTGAAGCACGGATCATTAACTCATTAAACAACACAAGTAAACATGAACGACGGCAAACTTTTGCCAGACTTCGATCACTGTATATTTTTTTCACAATAAAGATTGTTTTTGCATCACTACCGACTCTTTGGCTCTATATTTGCCTTAGATACTTTCACTCTAGACATTTCGAGGTGGAGGTGGTGTAGTCGCAAGTGGCACGCGTTCCAGTAGCGCGGTCCGGGGCCCGGATCTGGTCCCGCCCCGGCCAATCAGGCCTTCCCCCTGCGGGGACGGTAAATTGGTACCAGATTCGCCCAGGGGATAAGAATTCTCACAAGCCATTTTGGCCAGATAGCATCCAATAAGCCACTACGATTCTGAGTGGAACCAAAATGCCTGCCGTATCCCAAAAAGGGACTGGTCAGCGGCCTAGACTATCCTTTTGCGATCATTGTTGTAAGGGTGCAAGCTACTTTACCTTACCCGGTAGTTCGCATTTATCTTAGACACTTAGACTCTGCGGAAGGCGAATAAGCCGAAATGTCCCCCAAAAGTTGTGTTGAAACCTTGGATGTGATTTCAACACACACTATTAGATACCTCTCACCTTCACAGAAAGTTGGTGTGCGTGTGCCTTCAGAAGTACACGGCTTTGAAAGTGGAAAAATATCTTATTCTGATATATTTACACCAGAATGCTTAGCCAACAACTCAAGATGTTTGAGAAAGTACTACTATTTCAGGAATCCTTCACAATGTGAAAGAAGCTCAAGGTCACTCCACAGCTTGGTTTCCTTCCGGGCAATGACAAAGTCAACCCGTCGTTGGTAACCCGTTTATTCCTGCGTGACTAGAGTCTTCATTCCTTTTTTCCCTTAAATTGTCGGTTCAATATCCTTGTGCTAAAACCAGGGCACTACAAGAGAGTCCGCGGGAAATAACGGTCCCATTCTGGGACGGGAAATAACGGTTCCCATTCTGCACATATGCCTGGTACCGAGAAAATAGTGGTTTTTCAACTGAACGACTTTTCCGAGTTAGAAGGTTCTACAGAGGGTGGGCATTGAATGGAACACTAAGAAAGGTGTATGCGAAGAACTTAAGTAGTCTACACATCGAGAAGCACGTACAAAACTCCTAAACTGCTGCGATTTACAAGACTTTGCAACAAAGTGCAACGTCACAGCCGGTTGTGTAGTTGCGTACTCCAGTCGGTGACCGTAGCCTTACGTCTATTTCCCGTCTCAGGAAACTTGTCAACTGCGTAGCCTCACTCCCCTTTCCTTTTTCCTTGGTCCTTCCTACCTTTTCCTTCTCTCTTCAACTACTGGGCAGTTGATGCGATGAGAAATCACCTCTGGTCCTTCAAAGCGAGAGCATGGCCGGTTTGCAGAAGCCCTGTGACCCTCTATCTTCGTGCTCATACACCCGGCACCCCCACCTTTGCCAACAGGTTATCTGTACATAACAAACCTGCCCCATACTTTTACCTTTCGAAAACTGGGTGCTTACATTGTGGGGGAAGCGGAGAGAGAGTGCTAGTCAACGGCACTTTTGCATGCCTTCCCCGAGCCAGGCTTAGGCTCAGGAAAAACTCTGTCTTCTCTGCGAGGCCATCTCTCAGCGACTCCAGTCCTCTGTATTCTGAGCCCAGGCTTTGGTTAGGGGAAAGAACCTGGCGAGCGGTCGATCGGCACCCACTACAAGATCGGCGCCCAAAACAGACAATGAGGTTGTTGATCTCATATTTTTTAGGAGGCGAGACTCCCACGGACCCCGATACACCCGGAAGGGCGCCAGTTAGTATCTGTTAACGGCGTGCTTTCTGCACTGTAACTGAAAGCACACCGTTCACAAGTACAGAACACATTTCGATAACGAACTCAAACAAATGCACAGTAACCGGTATTATATAACAAATATACACGAATACTTATGGATCGAGCAAACTAAACCATCATTCAGTTCATGATAAACAGATTTATTCAACAACGAACAATAATAACAACGCTTATGCATCAATTTTCTTCACATGTTTCTTCGACTTAGGTTGCTGGGAGCGAACAATGGCAGCGGCACGCCTTTGGGCAAGCTGAAGGATATACGTCGAAGGAAAAAATTAAATGAAGCAACTGTATTATCATCAAATTTCAAGAATTCTCGGGTACAGAATAATGCTTGATCGGTATCGGGGTAATTTAGCAGTAACGAAGAAATTAAAATCTTTAATATCTAACGACTCCCTGAGGGTATAAATATGAAATTTCATTCGAGTTCTCATCAATGCTATTCTGGATACCCTAAGTGAAAGAAGACCAGAATGACTGATGCGACAACGTTGAAATGAGTACTGATTTTGAAAAAAAATGAGGAAGTGGTACACATGATTTACTCTTGATCCCCCCTCCCCAAAAAAAAAAACCTGGCAAAAGATCTCTGCGGAAAGCGTTTTTCTAATGATAAAGAGCTAAAGGCGGCAATTAACGCACATTTTGGGGACAAGAAGGGAATATTTTTAGGAGGTACTGAAAAGTTAGTTTCTCGCCAGACAAGTGTATTGAGGTTATAGGAGATACACTGCGAAAAAATTCATTCAGAACTTTTGCCTTTTTTTCATACCGTATACCGAAAAACATGTTTGAACATTATCACAAGATGGGTTGTGGGGAGAATGTCGATCACGACGGAGAATTCGAACCGCTCTCTGCTTACCGGGCAGGTTGAGTTTCCCATTACGATACGAGGCACTTTTTTGAGTGTCAGTCAATGGTATTTGTGCCTTGCTTCGAGCATACATTCAAGTGATAGATTAGCAATCGCAGATGAACCGGGCCAAGGTGAAGGCTTTTTTACAAGTTTTAAGCTGTTATTGTTAGATAACTGCTGTTTAGCGCTGCAGTGCGCGATCGGAGAGTTATCAAAAGAATGCTGAGTTGTGGGCAAAAAGCAACAGTCTCGAAGAAAAAAAAGTCCAGCTATTCTTGCGGGACAATGATATCTTTTGGTAGAGATATGGTACCCGTGACATCCCTTCAGAGTTATCACTTCGTTAACATCAAGCATTTATATAGAATTTCAGTTCATGTGGGGAAGATGTTCTAAAGGGGCGGTGGGTTGCAGTGGAGTAACCACAAGGGAGGGGTCTTCTCCAGTATTATTCACACATTTTCATGTGTTTCTATCTGCTTCAAGGTCTTGGAGTTACCTGTAACATCTATGCCGATGATATCAAAATTTACAAGGTTGTTACGGACTCAGAATGTGACCCGTCACTTCAGCTCGCAATAGACAGGATTGTAAATTGGGCTGACAGCAACGGCCTTCTCTTGTCATCGGAAAAAACACAAGTCATGCGTTTGGGGGCTCACACACGCGAACCACAGTACTCTGCCGATAAAGCTGCGTTGAAGACGGTGGCGGAAGTTAGGGATCTCGGATTCCACTATGACAGTAAACTAAGTTTCAGAAAGCACTTTAAAATATTGGTGGTTAAAGGTATGCGCAGAACGTTCAACTTATTCAAAGCCCTACGGACAAAGGATCCAGGCATTTTGTTACGTTCCTATAAGCTTTACGTTCGCCCTATCCTGGAATGTGGTACAACGGTATTTAACCCCTACACCAAAAAAGATATTCAAGCGCTGGAATCTGTTCAGAACAACTTTACTCGTAAACTAATGCTTAGATGTACGGGCTTAAACTACTTAGATATACCTAGAGGTTTTGTTAGGAATACGACGTACGGGCTTAAATCTCTCGAGTGGAGGAGGAAGAGATATGATTTACTGATGGCTTACAAATTATTAAATGGCTTAGTGAAATTGGACGTTGAACAGTTTTTCCAAGTACTGTCTACTAATAAAGTGGGAGTTAGTTAGAATAGTGCCACGTTGCTAGACTCAGTACAGGTCAAGGTTTTTTAGTAATAGAACTTGTACCAACTTCAATTCGCTCTTACGTTCGAATGTGTTCCCTTTGAAGTATGCTACTTTCAAGAGGCGGGTCGGTGATTTCATTTGAAGAGTTGTAGTTTCTGTCTGCATATGTGAGCGTAGAAGCACATAAGCGGTTTTATCTCTGAGCTGGTTTTTTCTTTGTTTTTTGTGTTGTTTTTTTTTAACATTTAGTTTTGTCCTGTTTTATGTTCTATGTGCTATCGCACGTCCAATAAATGAATATGAAATTTGTTGCTCGGGTCTCGTAGATCTAGCTGATGCGATGCGTGCAGCACAAAACCCTATTCGTTGAGCTTCATTCCCAGCTGAAACGAATCTGGGGACCGCTAAGATGGAAGATATTCATAAAAATGCGCAACAAAATAAAAAAAATATAACATGAGTGCGGATGAAATGTTAGCGATATGCGATTCTGGAAAACAGTCGATTACGAAAACTCGGTAGCTAAATAGTCTAATGGGGAAGGGTGTGACTTTGAAGACGTATAGCATGACGTGTCATTACACATGTATGTATTAAGACAGTATTCGATCAAGCGAGAGTCTGTATTTTTATTTTTGTATTTATTTGATACTACGTTATGGTGAAGCTGTCGAAAACCCAAAAAAAATTATAGAAATTATGAAACATTAATGGGCTTAGTAAAACATACGGATCGCTTAGGTTGGCGAGGTAGAATGCAGTAATCAACGCATTTGCCGAGGCATGCGAAGAGCCTTAAAAAAAGTTACTGCTCCATAAATCAGGGATAAAACCGTGATGTGTGAAGTGGGTAGTGTAGACGATCTCCCTCCCCCCCCGAGAAGGGACGGTGTCAGTACGACCCGTTACCTTCGCCAGGTTGAATGCGAATCTCGGTACGGACCCCCCCCCCATCCTTCTAACCTACCTAGCAATTTCCACATATTTCAACCAGCATTTCACCATAATTTTACGTCGAGCGAGGTGGGGGAAGGGTGGGGTACACAGCCAATTGAAACGAGTAAATTTCTTAAATTATCCCTAATTTCCTATCATTTTTCTGGAATTCACCAAGAATTTTCCTACTTCTCTCCAAAAATATTAGTGTAAGGCGGTGGGAGGGCCGCCGAGGGGAGGGTGAGGAGGGGGAGGGGATATAATACAATAAATGCAAAATCGGTGCGAATAAGTCACAAACGGGAATTTTTCCCAACGCAGCAGATTTCTCTCGAACGCACATACGGACCCGCACCGCCCCCTCCCCAGAGGAAAGTACGACAACCCTATGTGTTCCCACAACGTGCTTGTAATTACAATAAAATGCAGCCTATACGATCTCCAATGACTTTTGTGTACTTTTTCGCTGAAGCTTCTCGGTAATCAAATGCTTTCCTCTAATGCTACCTAGTCCATGAATCGTCTAATCGCGTGCTTTGGTTATTCCCTTCCTAAACATCCCTTTGTTAAAAGGGTGAAGCAACAATGAACCAAATATAGCTATTTTTGGCGAGAAAAGCTTCAACCGCGTTTATAATGGCACTCTTTCAAAGGGAGTTGTTGTAATGACAACTGGACCCACTTGCCATGCGCACAGTCCGAGGATTAGATCTCGAAGCGGCTGCCGTAGGGGAACCCGAATTTTTTATCCTTCACTACGATTTTGAATAGGCGAAAAATTCAGGGTGCGTTTCAGAAAGAGATTAGTTGGAAGATTTGTGCCTTTTTAGAATAGAACAGTAATAATTAATTAAGTAATCGTGAAAACAAATAAAATTCACCTTATGCAATGGAGTGAGACCCTGACTTTTAGCGATGGCCTTTTACAGATCTCAACATCTTGTCGCGGTTTTGCAGCGTGATGGTGCTAATGCTCTTGGCAGGTCTCCCTGCTTTGCCTGCAAATTCTCAATTTCTACGTGCTGTTTCTAAAAGACAGAATATAAGAAATGTTTAAGAACAGACAGAGTAGACGTGGAGGTGGTGTAGCGGCAAATGGCACGCTTACTGCAGCGCGGTACGGGTATCAAATCTCGGATGGGCTCCCGCACAGGATAGCTAGACCCTCTACCCCGGGGAAGGGAAATTGGCACTATTCGTCTGGGAGGATAAGAACACTGACTTGTACATCGGCTGGCCCCGCAAGTCATTGTATAGGCCACATCGCATTCAATAAGCCACTACGATTCTGAATGGAAGTGGAATGCATACCGCCTGGGGATGGGATTGATCAGCGGCGAAGAATTTGAGTTCACTTTTATATAGGGTAGACCCGAACTCCCAAAAAAAGAGATGCGAAAAAAGCAGCCCCTTCATGAGTCAAAAAAAAACTGAACCATCAGAAGAATTGAGCGTTACTGACATACTGGCTAAATGGCACAAAGTGCGTCGGATCCTATCACGCTTTGAGCTACATTTCCAGCGATTTACTAGGTTTCTGTTCTGAGTTGAAATAGAACTGGAAGGCGGATTAAAGCACTGGAAGCCCGGGCACGAGGAACTTTGTAAGCAACAGAGAAGGAGCTTCGAGGTTGCCGAACCTGGGGACCAATTCAATGCGCGGCTATCCCTCTGCGACTCTTGTCATCAGTGCTCTAAGCTTAAAGGCAGTTGGCACGATGGTTTCCTACTTAGCCTAAAATGCTAGTAGGGCGCTGTATAGTGGGGAAATGGCGAAAGAACGGAGTGAAACGGTCAAAATCCTGCGAAGAAAAAGCCTCCTCTCAGTGACTTGTAAATCGATTTCGGACGAGTTTCCCGTAGGCATCTTACCAATCACCGCTACCGAAGATACGGCTGCATATGTGTACCCATGTATGCATGCAGCATCACGGCCGCTTCATACCAATCCCTTCGCTTCATAATTTGCTCAGCAAATAAATGAATACGAGCGTCAGGAACGGTCGTCCATTTGTGGGCGGGCGGGCGTGGCGGGCGTTTGGGACGTAAAGTTGTGGCTTGATAGGGCCCTTATAAGGGCACCTTCCTCGGGGAAACCGCTATGCAGCGCCTGCCCAGGGTCGCGGAATTCTATCCTGCCAGGAGTATTGATCCTAGTCGTCTTGGGGGATTTATCGTGCCAACTGCTTTTAAGTCATGCTTAGGGGAAGGGACACCTAATCTGACCGTTCATAATGAAGAAGAAATTGTTCCCAGTGCACATAAATGCCATGCTCTCAGAAAGGAATTCCTCTGTACAATATCTGGGACCAAGATGGAACCTCTACGTTGAATTGTACCATGCAGTAAAGATAAAAGATGTTACCTGGAATTTTCACGGAGACGACAACACCTTTGCCATCTTTTGCAGGAGCGATATTCATCGCTTTCTTGCTGATAAGTCCATTGAATCGGGGGCTATTGATGCCTCGTAGATTGAATGGTTCAACAGAAAAATGCTTCTTGATCCCTTTTTGCGGCGAAGGAAACAGCTGTTTTTCCGGATGATTTGCCAGGTAAGTTCAGCAGACATATTACCTGCAAATTGATATGCACTCTTCAACGATTCACAAATATCAAAAATTATCAGAAATGGACTGTTTGAGAAGAATAAACTTCAAGTCACTTCCGCGCGCAACGACGATAAGGAATTGAAGAATCCGTAGAGATGGAATGCATACATATCGATCGAGAGAACCGATGGAAAGGACTAGATATGAGTTGGTTTTGTG